TTGGGCAGGGGCGTCACCCGCGGCGGGAGCTTAGGGTTTTTGACCAATTGCTTCGGGTGTGTAATCAGCGTGGCCTGTCCAATCTGTCCTGCCTTGGTCCTGCTCTGATAGTGCGGCCGTTGGAATCGTTCGTGATAGCGACGGTTCTTTTTTTTTTTGAGTTTGTAGGCGAGGGTTTTTGATCCGGATGGCCGAGTTTCTTGCACCCGTTGTTGTATGTGTAACTTAAGTAGATCTGGAGTATCCACGCCCCACTGATGGTTTGTCAATAGCTTGACGAACCGGGGAGGGTGTTCGTGNCTTGCACCCGTTGTTGTATGTGTAACTTAAGTAGATCTGGAGTATCCACGCCCCACTGATGGTTTGTCAATAGCTTGACGAACCGGGGAGGGTGTTCGTGTGTCTGGATACGAGCATGGTAGATCTGCTAGCAGCACGAGGGGCTACGTAGACAGGAGCATGCGTATGCCTGAAAAGGCTACTATGTGTGGGCCCCCTTCCCCGAATTCGGGAGGGCCACTGCTTCCTATCCTTTCCTCGCTCCCGCGGGTGCCTAATCAGAGAGAGTTAAAGCGTGTCTTCTCCTCCCAAGTACGGATATACCAACAGCCACAACGTTGGCCATACCTCTTAGATGTGCAAGCACCGATCACACGGGATAGGCCAGACCTCTTGATTGTGAAAGCACCGATGATACAGGTTGGGAGGCAGTCACAACCGAAGGTCAGACCTCCTGGCTGTAGATTATGTCGGTTTGACGGTCCGGGAGAATGACTTCAGTGTATAGACTACTATGCTATTGAATTTCTTGCTTTTTTCCGGCTGGACAAAACGCAATAAACTCGTCTCCAACACAGATATGACGACATATGAGGCCAGGATACGTTGGCGCAATGCATACAAAATGAACCCATACACCATTCATTTTGGGCTTTTGTGTGGGTGTGCGGGGATTCACGAGTGCTATGTGTCTACCAGCTACATGGTGCAGGGTACAACAAGCTCTCAGATCTCAGATCCCGTTATGGATCCCGCCAGACAGATGGGAAGAGGCGGCGGGGGGCATCCGAACCAGCGAGCCACCTACTGCTGGCTTTGTTTGGCCCTACATGTCGTGTGACGCCGAGCTAGCTTGCCTTAACACACGCGACCAGAGGTCGTAGCAAGCCAAGACGAATAGTTGGCAGGCTGGTGTTATCCTGTCGTAACCAAGGCAAAGAGCAATAGCTCCTCGGACTCGGGGCACAGCAACCGCCGCGAGCTAAACCCGCCGCACGACACTGCTGCTGGAGCGGTAAGACGAGCTTCTACACGGCGCGCATGGAGAAGGGAGGGCGACATTCCGGCAGCAGGTGCTGATTAGGTAAGGGGTTTCCCTCCAGTCACTTCTGGAAGGTAGCAAAATAAGGATGTGTTGAGGGAACGTTGTAATAGTCTAGATTGTGTAGTTGTAGACACCAGCAGTTAGTTGCATGTATGTACGTTCAGACACCAGCAGTTGGTCCTGTACACCCAACGGCTCTCGGCCTACTGCGTGTATGCCGCTCTTCCTCACCATGTACAGAGCGAGCATTATCCCGGAGGCGTCAGTAAGCACCCAGCCTCAAAAACAGCTTTTTGGAGGGCGGGTAGGCACTGCGATATTTTCAACGTTCTTTTTGTTTGTTGGGGGGCCCTCGTTTTCTCCAACAGAACAACGTGCAATAACACACATGCAGAGCATGTTTGCGGCCTACGCCACTTATTTTATTTATCGGGTGAGACTGTTTTGGTGATGTATTACAGTCGAGGGACCCTTTTAGTGCCGGTTGAATAGTGCCAGATGCCCGGTATAGTGCCGGTAAAATCTCTGCACACAGGCGGAGCTCTCAATAGTGCCAGACCGGCACTAATTAAAGCATGCCCGATATAGTGCCGGTTCGGCACTGCTGTCACCCCCAATAGTGCCGGTACTCCGCACGCGCGAAACACACACACGCACAACCCAGGGCAGAAAACATAGACTCCACACACAGAAATAGGGTACACGTGCTGCTGCAGACCCGAACAGCTCTACACAGGGGCGTACCATGCCCTGTGCGGAAGGTGAACTGTGCCAACTACAGGACACCACGCCGCAAGACCCTCATGGTCACGGCTGCCAGGGAGGATGTGGCGGGCGACTGCACGGCATTTGCGGCAGTGTGGTTGATGTAGGCAACGAGAATCACCGCATCTGCAGCGCGTGCGTCGCCAAAGCCGGCAAGCGCAAAGTGTCAGCAGCAGACAGCACTGGGAAGGCACAATCTAAACGTCCGAAGGCCACGAATGGGGGGAGTAACAAGTCTCAGCCTCGTGCGCGGCCAGATTTCAGCGCCAAGTGTGAGATGCTGAAGCTGATGGATCAGAAGGTGACTCATGAGCAGCTAGCAGATCGCTTCAAGTGCTCGGAACGGTTGGTCCGGGATGTGAAGAAGAACAGGAAGAAGTACGAGACCGAGGCTGCTGCAGGACGCGGAGGAAGCAAGAAAAACGTGCGCACAGGCAATAATCCGGAGGTGCGCTACTCTGCTGTTGTTTTAAAAAAATACGCGTAGTTCCCGCGCCTTCTTTGCCTTTTTTTTTTTGCCGGGCCTTGTTTGCAAAGAGTTTTCGTTTTTGCAAGGACCTTTTTCTGTAGCCTTGTTCGTCTATCTGATGTTCTTGTTCTTTTTTCTTCTTCTCTTGTCAAGTTGTTCCCTGTTCTCTGTTCCCTTTCCCCATGTTTCTTCTATTTCTCGACTGTTACAGTACTTGTTGAGCTTATTCCCTCTCGTCGTTCGTTTGTGTCTTTTTTTGTGTTACCTTTTTTTTCAACTTTCTTTGTTGTTTTATCGTTCGTGCGCTGCTGCGCCAGCATATAAACTGCGAACCAAAAATGTGTACTTGTTTGTACTGTACTGGTACATTACATCGCACGCACACCTATTCTTTCAAACGAGTTACAATACATAAATACACATGCGGATGCAGCGGCGAGCTTCTGTGGTTTTTCAAATGCCCGGAAATGTTTCCTTCCCACTACGATGCACTGTGCAACGAGGCTTAATGTTCGAAACTAATCGTGCTATCTTTTGTACCCTCTTTATTGTTTACTCCTCGTTTGACGGTCAATAGGTGGACGCCATAGCTCTTGACCTACTAGAGAAAGCCCGGAAGACCAAGATGCCCGTCACGCGCGACGTCCTTCGAAGCTTCGGCCGTGCCGCCAGGGCAACCCTGCTGGCTGATCCAGCAGCTTCTAAGGAAGTGAAGGCGAGGGTCGAGGATTTCAAGGCCGGCGAAAGGTGGGCCAGGAACTTCGTGAAGCGCAACAGCATCGACAGCGTGAGACTTCATGGCGAGGCTGGTAGCGTCAACAAGGAGGCCATCAAGGAAGCCATGGAGGAACTCAAGGCCCTTTGCGCAAAGTACCCGGCTAGGCTCATCTTTAACGTCGACGAGACAGGCCTCCAGTGGAAGCTCATGCCCAGGCGCACGTACCTCTCCAACTTGGAGGATCGGAAGACGGCGCGGGGCTCCAAGGGCATGTTCTTCAAGGATCGACTGTCTGCCATCATGTGCGCCAATGCCGACGGCACTGCAAAGGTTGACATGTCCATCATCGGGAAGGCAAAGGGTCCCCGCTGCTTCAACGACACGCCTTCACCTCTCAAGTACTTCTCGCAGGCCAACGCCTGGTCCGACACCGCGACTTTCCGCAAGTGGTGGTGTGAGGTCTTCCTCCCGTTCGTTCGGCGCTTCACTCACGAACCTGTGCTGCTTCTGATGGACGGCTGTGCTTCTCACGGTGATCTAGTGGATGATCGGGGGCAAGTTACCATCAAGTTCTACCCTCCAAACTGCACCTCCGTACACCAGCCTATGGATCTGGGGATCATCGCCGAGACAAAGTGCAACTACAGGAAGGAGCTGCTCGATGTGAAGACATCGACCATGTTGGTGGCTGACACCCTTCGTGCCGAGGCCAAAGCTCGCAAAATGAAGGCCGGGACAATGGGGCTGGCGCAAGGGCACCAACCTCACGTGCGGGATGCCGCTGAACTTCTCCAGAAAGCATGGGCCAGCGTCACCGCCCAGGACATCGCCAGGTGAGGTTTGAGCATGTGCAATCGCTGTTTATAATGTAAACTGTTCAACTCGCGCCTTGGTGCACATAGCTTTGGTGGTACAAAGGTAACGTGGGTAAGGTTGTACGCATAGATTATACTGTTTTCGACTGAGTTTTCCAACATCCGAATACATATCTTCTTTGCTTTTCGCAAAAACTTGAGTCCTCCCCCGCCTATGAGTCTTTGATCGTCCCTGGGTTCATCTAACATCCGCTTGTTGTCCACCCACAAACGTATGCATGACATTTTCTGCGCTACCTGGGATCAGGTGCTTTGTCAAAGCCGAGACTCTTCCGGACGAGATGGCCGCTGAGCTCACCAAGCAATACGGAAAGTCCCAGTTCCACGTCGCCGAGCCTACCTTGAAGGCTCTCACGGAGACTCTCAACACGTTGAGCACGAGCGTGCACGAGGCGCACAAGCAGGGTACCCAAATCGAGGACGAGGACATCGCCGAACTCATCGCCGAACTCCGCATCGAACCCGGAAAGCCGCTCCTGGAGGAAGCGGTGAACGCGATTCAAGGGTGGGCTACCATCGAGGACGACGATGAAGTGGTTGAGGCTCTCAGAGAGGATACGGTGGAAGACATGACGGCACAGCTGGCTGGGACTCGAGTGTCTACCGGCCGCGAGGAGGAGGACGAGGAGGAGGACAGCGGCGATGACAACACGGGGCTCGCGCGCCGTGTCCCACCGGCTTATGGTGAACTGTCGTCTCACTTCGGCGTCCTGGAAGCGGCAGCAGAGGAGAGCGGCAATGGAGACGCGGCGCTCTACCTAGCGAAAGCGAAGATGGCGATGATTGCAGCGCATTCCAAGAGGCGGGTGCGCCAGGCAGACATGAGGGAGTTTGTTGCTACGGAGTAAGGGCGGGGAACAGCTGTGGCACTAAAAAAACGGTTGTTTGATTTTTGCGGTGCGCTGCCCGTCGTGCATGTCATTTTTTTTTTCTTGCAACATCGAAGCGGGTGCGCCAGACAAGGAGATAATTTGTCCCGACGTACAGTAGTGAGGACAGGGGTTACAGCTGTGGTAACGGTTGTTTGATTTTTTGCGGTGCGCTGCCTGTCGTGCTTGTCATTTTTTTTTTTTTCCTTGCAACATGAGCGGGTGCGCCAGACAAGGAGAGAATTTGTCCCGACGTACAGTAGTGAAGGCAGGGGTTACAGCTGTGGTAACGGTTGTTTGATTTTTTGCGGTGCGCTGCCTGTCGTGCTTGTCATTTTTTTTTTTTTCCTTGCAACATGAGCGGGTGCGCCAGACAAGGAGAGAATTTGTCCCGACGTACAGTAGTGAAGGCAGGGGTTACAGCTGTGGTAACGGTTGTTTGATTTTTTGCGGTGCGCTGCCTGTCGTGCTTGTCATTTTTTTTTTTTTCCTTGCAACATGAGCGGGTGCGCCAGACAAGGAGAGAATTTGTCCCGACGTACAGTAGTGAAGGCAGGGGTTACAGCTGTGGTAACGGTTGTTTGATTTTTTGCGGTGCGCTGCCTGTCGTGCTTGTTTTTTTTTTCTTGCAACATCGAAGCGGGTGCGCAAGGCAAACAGGAGAGAATTTGTCCCGACGACAGTACACAAATAAACAAATAAGTGAGGTGCAGAAGAAAATGAAGAACCAAAGAGCGCCCCAAGACAACAAAAAGA